CGCCAGGGAGAGAGTACAAGGATCCACATCCACAACAGCAACAAAAAAGGGGCCATTCATTGTCGGACACGCGCTGGACACATGAACATAACGTTTTGATAATAAAATTCGCACATATTTTGTATCCGCATGAAATGTAAAAGGATAACGAAAATCTATACAAACAAACGCCATTGTTGGATGGGGGAAATACTAAAATATATACATATATACGCCAACAACAAATGTTTATTACATGCCTACATATGTATTCAAGTATATAATGTAGTACGAGCACAATGGGGAGCCTATGTCAGACAAGCTTTTATTGTTGCTGATTTTCCGTTCATAGAATAGTAACACCCACATTGTTTCCCATCCAAAACTGACTCCTCTCCCCTCACAATGTACAAAATTTTACATCTAGGATAAACATTGAACATTTTATTTTAAAACCTACACTATTACCCAGATCTTCGGGCACCCACCTTATTTCCCCCCAAACGTGAATGTTCTAGCAACAGCATCTCTCTTTTTGGTGTCATAAACATTTCTGCATATCTCTGTTTCTTTGCATTGTAATGTAATGGGCTCCAAGCATACTCCACCTCCCCCCAAATTCTATAGCAATATGACCATCGTAACTATCAACCAACCAAACATTCATTGCCTTACCTCACAATGCCTTGTATGTTGTAGTCTTGACACAATCAACCTGTTACCACAAACAATTGATGAGAGCAGAACGGACAAGCATACATACACACACGAACACAAGTACACACTTGCCACATAACATCACCATCAACATGGGTAGCATGGTGCTCCGCCTTTTTCAATCTTTGGCACCATTGTTGGCTGGATGGCTGGCTGGCTGGCTGGCTGTTGCGAGCATCTCGGCTATGCGCGCATGTTGCCTGGATTTTGTTTCAGGGTAGTTTCAGGAGCATATTTTTAGTGTCTTTTTGTGCACATGTTGTTCTATTTATTTGCACAGTGGGTCTCGGCCGATTTAAATTTATTTAATTTTTTTTATTGTTTGTACTTCGGGTATACCGTAATCTGAGAATTTAAAAATCTTGAAGTGAACTGAGGACTGTCGAACTTTTTTCTAGTGTAGAAATAGATCGTCAAAAACTGAGGGATACCGACTGTTTTCTGTAAAAAAGGAAATATTAGTTAAACTGAAATCGAACAAACTTTTTATAGAAGAAAACAAGACATGACTATCAACCAACCAGCCATATGTGCCAGAGGCCAACCGATATTTTTCCTATAGAAAAACATATTATACAACTGTGATGAAGCGGATTAATCTGAGATAGGCTCAATTGTTTTTCTTTACAAAAATTTGGCCTATATATTGCATAGGAGAACCTAAGACCTGTATTTTTAAATTTTATGAAAAATATAAGAATTAATGGGAACTGAGATCTAAAAAGTCTGAGGTCAGCGAATTTTTTCTCTTGAATGAAGTAAACAGAGGTGAATTGCGGTCTGCCATATTTTATATAAAAAAATACTAAAATCTGGCGATTTTTTTCTAAGGAAGAAAAGTAATCCTCACTACCAACAAGGCACCCATGGCAATATTTTTTCTATAGAAAAAAATTATGAATCTATGTCGAAACCGAGATCTATTATTTATAATTTTTTGTAGGAAAAATTAGACTTTTATATAGCATAGAGGAAGCTGAGAACTACAGATTTTTATACCCTATACAACTATGTTGTCTGCTGTATTATAGCTTTGTACAGCCCTAGAGTTTGAAACGCGCGAATTATTGGTCCGAGATCCACCTTTAAGTACACCGATCGTTATATCTCCATCTAGACATGTCCGTCCGTCTATTATAATTTGTAAAAACGATAAAGGCCACAGTTATGGACCTACACATGCTTCATGTAGGATGGCTTCTGGCCAATGAAGACCCCTATTGGTAAAACTCGGTTAATATTTAGGAATGAAAAGTACCAAATACCTTTTTTTGTCGGTTTTCTGGCCGAACCAGAGGCCGCAATTATGACCCAAACATCGCGAGAAGGAGGAGGGAATCGGACCAATGAATAAGCATACCTGTTTGGATTACGATCGGTAAATATTTAGCAGGTCAAATGGACCCTGACTTTTGTGTGAAAAATTACAAAATTTGTATTCTATGACATAGACCCGAAAAGGACAAAGACCCGAGAAGTTGATCGTATATCCAAGAGGAGTGGTTGACCATTGAATTGATACCAATTATACTATCGTAAGAACGTGGATGTGGTAGTTACACTTCCACATTTACAGGTGCTTACGTATTCAGATATTATTTAGTAACCCATTAACACATTGAAAATTTCCATGAGTTTCCAGTTATGGTCAAGGATAACGCCTATAATTATTAAGATTATAATCTTGTGGTGAAATACTTTTTTGTGTCAATTATAAGCCGAACATCACAACACAACTCACGGTAAAGGGAAACCTAACAAAGTAATTAGAAGGGCTATAAGGAAGAGGTGCTGAGGACCTCTAATTGGGCAAGAGGATGCAAATATCACGAAATATTGCACAGGCTCGGAATAAACATCCACAGAAAGTTAGAGTTCCGTGGTACTTGTGTAGGGTATCACATGGTCGGCCCCGTCCAACTATATTGCCCCCCGCGCACTGTTTTTTTTCTTTTGGAAAATATACGAATTGATATTTTAAAATCCTGAGATCTTTCGGTTTGCTTTTTCAGTGAAAATGTAGACCAGAGTTGAACTGCCGATTTTCTGTAGAAAAAAAAGTAGACTTCAGTTATCCTGAAATATGCCGAACAAAAGTAGACCTGAAGTCTATAGAAACAACTAAAATCTTTTAAATGGGGGGTTGTTTCAAACATTAAAAATGTTCTGTGAGGAAGTTTATCAACCACCAAGATATTATGTCTACTCTACAAAAAATGTCTAACGTGGGTCGGAACCATTATTCGAAGTATATATGAAGACATGGGTCTATATTGAACATATTTTTCTGAACATGTTTCTCGTCATACAAGAATTTTCTACGAAGAAGATTTTTACCAACTAAGAGTCCTTAAAGCAAATTAAAGCCACTTCGGTTGGAAAATGTGCCATGGGCCATAAAAAATCCATAATCCACCCTTATATTCGGTTGAAAAATATTCACCGGATACCCAATAATATATATATATATATATATAATTTAGATCCGTCCGGCTGTTGAAATAAAGACAGGAATTGTAATATTATAAATCGGTAATATTATAAATCCGTTCCAGTTTTGGTATATCTCCCATAGAATGGTATTTGGAAGAAGTTCAGCATTTCAGATCATTGAAGAGATAGAAAATAGGTTTACAAAATTTTTTGAATACAGGTCCTTGTTTTGACATTATCCGCAATATAGCATACCAGATTCATGATAAATAAACAACTACTCCCCAGAAAATTGTGAATGTGGGTACATTTTTTGCATTTGCCTTCATGCCGTGGCTCCGATAATTGTCTGCATACTGAATCTCCTAGCCATTTTTTTTCTAAACTGGGTGCTCTTAATTTTGACATATTATTGACAAACCAAATGTCCAGGTATTTTTTTTTTCTATCGAAAAATAAAGATTTTGTTCCTAAAAGGGCAAATCTGGCAAGTTTTTCTCTACCGTCTAAATATACCTCAAGCAAACTTGAAGTCAGGAGGAGCTAAGTTTAATTTGGATTTTTTTGCTATTAAAGTCTTGATGTCTGACGAAAACATTGGCATCCGGTGAACTGAGGGCTGACGAAAATGCTTCTATAAAAGTACATTTGTTTTCTTATGAGGAACCAATAAAAAATCGGGGGAAATATGATCTTCAGCTGGATCTAAGGTCTGACGATTTATTTCCAATAGAAAGCAATGTATCCAGGAGCACTTGAGATTTTTTTATTTTTTTTTTTACTATAGTAAACAATCGCTATATATACGATTTTTTTGTCTATAGATGTAATCTCTGGACCTCAATTCACCTGAGGTTTATTTTTTATTGTTAAAATTAGCTAACCCTCAATTCATTTGAGGTCTATTTTTGCAGAAAAAATATCATTGCTGTTTTTATAGAAAAAAGTTCGTCAGAACATTGTGAGGTTCATTTTTTGTAGAACAGCTTCATCTGAGGTACACTTTTTATTAAAAATTGAAAAAAAATGGCAGAACTCAGTTAAACCTTCTACGTTTTATTTTGTTTTCCAAAATAGTCAGATGTTTTAGAAAAATCGGTTAGTTCATTATTGATTCACATTTTCCTGAATTAAACCACTGTTCACCATCACTACCGCGCTGGGTTAAATTAAAACAATTCAACCAACCAGCGTACGTTTTGTGCTCACTCCATCTCGCTTTGGCGAGGAATAAAGCAACAAAATATGTTCGCAACATTCAAAGCAGATGCAGCACTTTCAAATGAATGGTAAGGCAAAAATAACAGCAGCAACACAACCAACAACAACAAAACCATTCAGCACGAAGCATGCGGCAGAGAACAAGATGCAGAAGGCATAGCCATGAATAACATAAGGGGTGTCCTTCATAAAAGAACACACAACAGAACAGAAGAGCCCAACAAAAATCAGGACAGATGTGTGAGTGGTTGGTTGGCTGGCTGGCTGACAGAATGGCCAGTAGGGTGGGCTGGTGGATGGAGTGCAACAATTTAAACTGGATTCCAACTAGATTTATATGTGAGGATGTTCATAACAGAGGCTGCGGCGGCAATGACAATCCAACCAGAAAAAAGGAGTCTACATAAAGCAGAACAGATTGTGGCAAAGGACCAGTTTACGTTTAGACGTCACCAGAGACGGAACAGCAAAGTGAACGCGGGCAAAACGAAATAAAGTTAGACAAAAATTGAGAAAATATTCAAATTGGAGTAAATTTTAAAAATTAAAGAACAGAAACTAGAAATTATTGGAAGTTCATTCTTTTAAAAAAATCATAAAATTATAGTGAAGTGAAAAAATTACAATTACCAAGGACTAAATCAATGAACATGATAATGGATAGCAGCCATACACATGCAATACAACGAGCCTCTCCATTGCAGGACTCGCCCAGGACCGTATCACCACCGCAACCACATCATCATCCGCAGCATCACCAGCCACTTTTGCAACAAACTCCCAAGGATTTACAAATATCAACAACTCCACCAACACCACCAAATGAGGATAGCAATCAAATGTCTCCAAGGACACCAATTGTGACCAAAAACACAACTTTGAAGCGTTCGTTTGATGTGGCCTTCTTGATGATGCCCGATGAACGTTTGAAGGCCAGTCAGGTGTCACAGGAAAAGCAAAAGTTGCAACAACAACAACTGCAGCAACAATATCAACCACAACCAGCTAAACAACCAAATTTGCGGCAATATCCTCAAATCAGCGTGAGGACTCCTCGAATTTACGATGATCCCACCTTGGTGATAGCTTCCAATGATTGGGAGTCGCATCCATTGAAAAGTGCATTTACCAAAGTCAATTCTCGGCTCGAGTCGCCAGGACAACCTGCACCTCCCCTAAGTCCAGATCAATTGAGTTGCTCCTCTATGAGTCCACCTGTGGCCACAACTCCACCCCGCTCCGCCAGTGGTAGTAGTAATGACATAATTTCCATTGATAGTTTACCATCATCGCCGGCGGCACTGTCACCCACAATGGGTTATCAAAATTTTCGCCCTGAATATTCACCAAATGGAGCATTTCAATCGGTTCAAAACCTCCAGGCCCAACGTTTGAAGCAACAATTCTTATATCGTTCCCCCGTTATGAGTCCCGAACATCAGGCTGGACCACCACCACCAGCTAGTCCTCCAGGATTTATACCCGTCTATCCAGGATTTCCATTCCCACCAAATGCTGGTGCTGGAATGCCACATCCCTTCGGTCCACTTCCACCGCCGGAAATAATGCCACGTATGGTACAAAATCCTGCCGCCGCAGCTATTCTCTCCACCCTTATTCCACCCACCTTGGCCTCAACATTTACGCTGACCGCTCAAAACGTGTGTGCCAAGTGCAATATCAGTTTTCGCATGACCAGCGATTTGGTCTATCACATGCGTTCCCATCACAAAAGTGAAGTAGCATCGGATCCAAATCGTCGTAAACGTGAAGAGAAATTAAAATGCCCGGTTTGTCAGGAATCTTTCCGGGAACGTCATCATTTGACACGGCACATGACCGCTCATCAGGATAAGGCCAGCGATCAAGCAAGTGGAACACCGCCAAATACGCCACCTGGCCAAGGTGATAATGGTAACTTTCAACAACAGCAACAACAGTTGAATTCGTCGCGCATAAATTCTCAAAGATCTTCAGCAGCGGCTGCTGCTGCTGCCGCCTACTCGAAATGACTAAGGAACGAGTTTAATTATTTCTAAAGCCGACGGCTTCGACGTTGAAAATTGTTGTGTTTTATTAGTCGAATGACTATATATTTTTTATTTATTTATAAATAATTGTGCATTTTGTGATATTAAATTAATGCAAGCAAACAAACAAAGAATAATATTATTGTGGACCCATTATATCTGAGTCCAAATTTTCTTTTCTGTTCTAAAATCTCCACAATTTAGCTCTAAGCCTTAAAAACAACAAATTTGTTTATTTTCTTTAGTTTTGTTTAAA